ATTTGCATCGGAGGTGTGGGCCGGCATCGCCATGATCTTGCGGCTCCCTCGGCTGCTAGCCTGCTCTGCTTTGTGTGCTCGCCGAAGCCCGGATTCCTCGGAGCAGCGAATGCTTGAGAGCCCAGATCCTAAGACCCTTGATCGCACCTTCAGGTGACCACACCGAAAATATTCATGGAGCGCCGGAAGGCACTAGAGAAAACGAACCGGCGCCTCGAGAGAGAAGTGCTCGGGCCTCCAAATATGCGGGCAATCATCATCAGCATCTCGAACAGCCACATATCTGCCGTCAAATCGGATGTTTGTTCTACGCCGGTCTTGGCGAGAATGGCAGGGGTTTTGCGACAATCTCGACGGCTTAACGGGTGCCAACGCCCTCTTTGAACAGCAGGATTTGAGCTGTCGCTGCAGCCGAACGTCATGTGCTAGAATGCCACAAATGGCCGGAATCTCGCCAAGGCTGCTGTACAGCTGAGGCGCAACAAGCATGCATGCGAGCCGCTTCGGTTTCAAACGACTTGCCTAAGCAAGCAGCTCTTTTGTCTTTACAAGAATTCTCGCAGTAGATTGCGGGTCCCAAAGCCCCAACTGACCAAATGTGAACCTTCGTGCTGCCACAAGGTCCGGATTGCAGCTCGCAGATTCTGCAGCGGCGGCAGCAACTGCGCGGCAGGCAGAAGCAGCACTAGGAGACCCTCACCCTGGCTCTTCAAGTGCGGGCTAGGCTATAGGCTCCAGCAATGTAGCGACCCGGCGGCAGCTGCGTGGCATTTGCCATCAGGTGCAAGGTTTGGTCGATGGCCTCGGCGCCGCGACGCTCCCAAGGCCAAGCAGAGATACGTTCGAGCGCTGTCACTGCTCGCAGCTCTCGCAGCTGTCGCTGAGGCTGCTTGCTGGACAGGCGCTCCCCGGCTCTCCCCGTCATGACGGCGGATGCTTTTCCCCTTCCCTGAGGGGATGCAGCTGGTTGCCATGGAGCCCACCTTCCACGCTGAAATGCTGTTGGCAAAGGCTCCTGCACCTTCGTTGGGCAGAGAGTAGAATGCAGACATTGTCCCCAGGAACGGGTCGGCAGCCAGCACCTCAGCGCAAGACCATTGGCAGCTTTTGCGCCCTCTTTGTATCGCGGCGTGTTGAGTCGGAGTTTGCACATGTGCACCACAAACGTGCCTCTCGCTAATGGGCCCAAGCAACAGGAAAGGAAGCATCAGGAAAGCATGCAGACAACACAGAAAAGCAAGAAAGCATCCAAAAGAGCAAGCCTCCAACTCCTCGTAGCCAACCGAGTTGCAAGCACACCTTCGACATCTCAAACGCTCCAAAGCCACAGATTGAAAGGACAACAAGAGCTTTACTCACTCGCTTTGTTGCTCCCGGTAGTTCCGATTTTGAAGGCCTGAGCATGAACGCAGGGAACAACATTCGACACCCGGCTGGGTGAGCCATTCACTGTGCAGGTCGATTCGTGTTGGAGAATTCAGCGCATGCGCTGGCCATTTTGGCTTTACTATGGGATCCTCGTTGCTCAGAGTGAGTCAGACACAGTCATGAGGAAGCAAACGCCGCGAATCGTCCCCACACCTACGCCTACGCGCAGGTTGCAGCGATTACGGCTACGGCTACATTGGCATCCCAGGCCCGCCTTAAACGCGACTGGAGCACCTTAGCCTAGAAGGGGGTATCGCATTGGGTCAGGAACCGGCCTCTTTCGATGCTGCCGTGGCAGCTGCGACTCAAGAGCCGCTTGTGCAGGCCTTGGCACTTGGTGCATGGGATCGAAGTGGCGAGCATCTCTTTGTGACTTCACCATCGGTAGTACCATCGGTGCCGGTACACAGGCGAGAATCCATGTGGCTGCTGGCATCAAGGCCTGGAAGACACCTTTGACTGCTCGGAGACAGCAGTAAGAACTCGGCAACAACTACCTCCAGGTGCCGAGCAACGTATGCGACTCCAATGCGACGTCGCCCAGCCGCAGTTTTATCTTGAAGTCTATTGTGCCCATGAGTCGCCCAGCTTGTAATGTGTATTTATTTATTTATGTATATATATATATATATCTATACCTATATGAAAGTCGATAGGTGTGTGTGTGTGTCTGTCTGAGAGTGTTGTGTGTGTGTGTGTATATGTAGAAATAATGCACCAACTCGAATCCGCATGTACAACGTCTTCAACTCCGATTAAGTACCTTTAAGTCCTTGCTTGTTTCTTCTGGGCATTCGACATGCGCATATGCACCGATCCATATGCACACGAAACCGTCGTACATGAGTAGATGTTCATGCTGACGTCTTGTCTTGTGAGTGCGCTTTCTCGCTTAAATATAGACTCCGGAGTCCTTGCCAGAATTCACAACTCAGATTCTCCCATGATCCGTGTGAACTGTTTAAGCATCTAAGCGCTTAGCAATCATATCCACCGGTGTTTGCAAAGCATAGCTGCAGAAAGCGGAGAGGAAGATTTTAAGGCCATGTAGTTTCGAACCCTTGTTCAGCCCAATCTCCGTGTTTGGCAATCCTCTCTAAGCAGGTTCTGCTACGACAAGCCCGCTTCCAGCATGCCCCCTCATCGCTCCATAGACGTATGTGTGCATTAGGCCTCGACAACCCGTTAGGCTTGAAACTAGCCAATGTTAGCACAACTGCTTGACTTGACGCTGTAATTATGTCCACCACACTAATTATCGTCAAGGCTTGCTAACCAATGGTGAGGGTAGAGGAACAAGCTGGGTAGGACTCGAGTGCACAGCAGATGCAAAAGACTCAGCACTGGATCGCTTCCTGAATCAAAGGAGCATAGCGCAGATTCCATGGTTCATCTTTTCTATTTCTACATAAGCTCGTGTTTCAGTCTCGGGTTCAGGTCATGATTGAAATGTAGATGTGCAGCAGGTGGACCGCTTTGTTGGCAAATGTAAGTGGCTCAGAGCACAACAGCCAAGCCAAGGTGCCAACTGCAGATACTCATGCCTACTGGGCATCTTGGCCGACCAAGGGGATGGGACACTTTGGTGCGCACGATCAAGTGGCAATAGAAGCTGGAGAAATTGCCTCCAGGTTTTCAGCCCAAGACTCTGGCTGCGGAGAGGCATGGCATTCTTCGAGGGGAGCAACGGGCTACAAAGCTGACCCGCCACTCTCGGCAGAGCAGCCATGCAACATGTTTGGCTTGGAGTGGTGCAGCACTAGCTTCTCCTAGCTGAGGAATATCTTCCCCTTCCTAAGCGGCTTTGAGCGAATGCTCAGCAATGCGTCAATGTGCACTGCCGGCCGTGACAACACGTCCGATGTGGACTTTCTCAGTTTCGCACTACAGGGCTTGGAGGCCAATGAAACCTACATATTTCAGTTTTCTGTGATCTGGCTGCGACTTACTTAAGGAAGAGCTGTGAAAACTGCATGTCAGCCACGGTTTTCGTGTGACTTTCTAAGGTTATTGGTCCTGCATTTGCAGCTGAGCCTTGGACACGGAACGAGGGCCCATGCAACAGACACCGCCTTGCTCCCGAATCGGTCACAGACACGGGACACGAGACTTTTGAACATCTGGTCAACTTCAAGCAGTCCGTAGACCCTCGAGGAGCAACCGAAACGACCCAAGAAGTAGAGCCTCCAAGATGCTCTTACCATGGTGCCAGCTCGCTTTGTCTCTCTCCGAAAAGCCCAAGTGTAGTCAATCACCAGCAGCACAGGTACGGTCATGCTCCAGTAGCATGCTGCACAGTCTGGTTTGACGGCTGTTGCTTGCAGTGTTGCAGACTGGCATGTATTCCGAGGATAACAACCACTGGCAATTTCACACATACAATGAATCTGGAAATTTGTTGTTTGCAAAGAATGTCACCGGGAGCCTTGGCAGCAGCCATCTTCGCTGTCATGGGGTCTTCCACAGGTACATCTCAGCAATTGCTGTCAAGAAGACTTCGAATACACAGACTGTGCGCGAGGTTTGACATAGTCAACGCGTCGTCGAACAACCTCAGCACTGCTGAAGCCATGATTTATGGACCTGCACATACACACAACAGTGAGCTGGCAGCAGCCATCTCGTGTCCTGACTGCAAAACGGACCTTTGTCTTCGAGTTCAACTGCGGCGTCTTTGGCTTCTGCAGGTTGAAGCTTACTACCGCCTGCGGCGGTGAGTGGTATGCTTCTCACATCTTCGGCCCACTGCCGTGCCAGCTCATTGTGCACCTGCCACCAGGTGCCCGCCCACAACAAGAAACTCCCTTGACCCTTCAAACGATGGACTGTGCACGTGTGCTTACACCTCTTCCCAGTCTCTCTCGTTTGGTATGTGAAGGCATTTGTGGAAAGGGAGCGGCATTCGGCGAGACTGCTACTTCATCTTTCAGCCACCTGGCTGAATCTGCTTCGAGCATGCTTGCGTGGATTAAAAATTGGCAGAGATCCCGCCTGAGGCCTTTGTCCTGACTGGATGCTGTTCGGCCTGAATGCAAGCGATGCAGTCTGGATGAAGATGCGGTTTGAAGTGGCCGAAGTGCTTGTTGCAGGGAGCCTTGTAGCTCTCAGCACAAACTAACCAAGGCATCAGGCGGCAATACATCCTGTTTGACTTCTGTTTTTCATGCTCATCACAGAAAGGAGTGCTGGACTTGCGCCACACTTGATTCCAATGGATGTCGAACAATAGAGACACAGACCTGGTGCGAGGAGGTGATGTACACCAATCACAACGCGACATGCGTCACCAGCGCCACAATGAGTCCCGGAGCCTTCCATTATTTTCCTGCCTCCAGCCAAGCTCACTGCCGGATGATGTGCAGCCAGAGATGCTTGGCAGAGTTCAGTGTTGCACCACAGGAGCGACACGAGTTGGATCGACGACTTCGGTCATGAAGCATACACCGTGCACTGGTGCTTGTGGGCCCCAACAAATGCTGAGGGAGGCTGAGCAGGGGAGAGTGGCTAGATTGCGAGAGACAGGAGAACAAATGATGTGCATCTCAGGAGATGATTGCTATGGCTTCTCCGTGATGCAGCCAATGTCCAATTGCTTCCTTTGGCTAGACGGTCCGCTGACCACCGCTACTGGCAGCACTCAGCCAATGGACTGCAACATCAAAACGAAGGCCGGAAGACAAATGAGCTGCTGCTGAGAGATAGGTTCAGATTGCAGAGAGGCCATTTGACCAGGGTCACGTGGAACAGACTACTAAAAATTTTCCATGATTGTCCCGTCCAGGCCGATTGCCTTTTCAGCTTGACTGTTCCTGAGCCTCTCGCTTGCAACACTGACTTCGTGCGTATCGCATTTTCGCAAGTTCAAGCTAGCAGCATGCCGCGCATGGGAAGCGGCTGCGAAGCCTGAACAGCATACGCCATTGTGGCACTCAGTACCTGTTGTTTGCTGTGATTCTGGTGTTGTGGTGATGCATTCACATCGTTTGTTTGATGGTCTCGTTTATGGCTTTTGAATGCCCTGGGTAAGGAACGTACAGGATGGTGATGGAAGCGGGCTATGAATGTCATAATGAATGTCATCTCATACACATGCATGCTTGCATGCATGCAGAAACATGTACGGAAAGCATGTTTACGTTGTGCAGCATGCTCTCCGGTCTGTGAGGCTGCTCAGCACGGAGCGCTGCTTGGTCTTTGTGGGGTGCCGTCGCGGTCGCGTGTAACAGGATGCAACCCCAACGTGGATTCGTGGCGCCAGTATCGTTGAGCCCAGGTTACGCATTTCAACTTCATCTCGAAGTGGACAGTGCAGCCTGGAAAAAGCTGGAGAGTTCCACATTGAAAGGCGGTGCAAGAAGGGCACGGGCGCAATCGGATTCTGCCCAAGGCCGACGACGAATTTCCTCCGTGGAGCCTTGTCGGTCTGGACGGCGGCCTTGGGAGGCTGCCGGGTTCACACTCTTACTTTTTTAAAGGGATCGGCTGGCAGAGGGCTTCGAGCATCAAGCTGGCGAAGCTAGAAGCAAACATCATGCCTTGCTCTCGGACTCTCGGAGGACCTTCGAAATCGCTGTGAACGGTTCAGCCGTGCCCACCACTTCGACTACCACAACACTTGCCAACTTAACTTTGCAACTTTTCCCCAGCGTGCCTGGCACTATTTTCGATGAAAGGGTGTTTCTTCTATGTTTGTGCTCAGGCCCAGAGTGATGGGACCATTAGGCAGTAGGGGCCCAGAGTTGACGACCCGAAGGCATGGTGTTACATCGTACTATAAGGTGCTACAACCTTATGAGATTGGTCCGATATGTATACTTTTTCGATTGTCCTCGGATCTCTATGGTGGCGAGATCAGTTTACATCTGCCTCCTTATTTCGAGCTTCCAGATCCGGACGAAGGACCGGCCAGAGTGAGAATGCAGCCTGTCAGTGAAGTACCTAGATGCGGTGCCATTGTTGGAACGCCCCTGCGACAGGATATGACCGCTTCCACAGACCATTTTACATTTCAGCAGATCCCGTCCTTTTCCCGCTGATCCTCCTCACGAATGCCACAGAAGACGTGATGGCATTGCCTTCAGGCCCCTAAGACAGGTTTTCTTGCTCTTGCGTTGATGTCTGCAAGTGTTCTGGATCCACAACTGGAGGATCAGAGGCTATGCCTGCTTCGGATGACGAGGGCAGGGCCGTGTTGAAAATCGCGGCTGGGCAGCGGTTGAGATTGTCGGCCCTGCAGGCAACATACGGGTCGTCTCAGTTTTGGAGCGACGAAGACTCAGGACCTGGCTGGAGAGCGACTGATGTCCGGTGTCCTCTACGCCTTCCAGTTTGACTTGCAGAATCCCGTCTCCGCAAAGGCAGCCGAGTACTATCCGCTTCCACCTCCACTTGTCGAGAATGTGACAAACGAAACAAACATGACCAATATGAGCAATTATAGTGAGAACGAAAGCAACACTACGAGCGCATACGAGCCCGAGAGCATCAACAAATGGCGGTTTGCCACTGTTGATGGGACCGGCCAGATGATCCACGATCAGACAGTTGATGGCTACACACTGGAGCCGCCTGCGAATGTGAGCAACATATCTTCTGGCCCAGTACAACTGTTCGAACTGTTTGAAGCAGCTGCTTTCGTTCCCAGCTCGGTGGATGCAGACGCGATCAACGTTATCTGTGCCGGATTCAGATTGCGAAGCCGGGCGTGCTTGTCGCCGTATGGCTGCGAAATCCACATTTACCCACCTCCTGGCTTCTTACCGGAATCGGAGTTCTGCGGAAGAGCCTTTCAAAGGGGAACCTTGGCGAAGCATGTCGCGAAGGCTTTAGGACGTGAAGTAGACACTTCTTGCCTCTGCTCTGCTACCAAGGAGCTGGGAAGACGAAGCTCGCACAGCCTGCTCTATTCGCGTTCCTGACAGGCTGATGTAGGAGCTGGTTTTGGGAAGCCAGCCCTGCTCAAGCTCAAGTCTTCTCATTCTCTGGCAGGTCACGAGCATGGCCTCGATCCTTTGACTGCCTGTACCATGCAGTGCCTCGTCAGACTATTGTGTTGTCACTAGGGCTAGCGTAACAGGCTGTCGTCCTCTGCTAGCAAGTTGGGGCTCCTGCCGAACACGAGGCTGAACCAGACATCCATGCAGACTCACATTACACTTCTTCTGCCCCCGAGCGACTTGATGGATTTCACGTCGTATGCTTTCCAGCACCTTGGACCCTGCAGGCATGATGGAATAACAGTTGCTGCTACTGTAGTGTTCTCCAGCTGTTTCCTATTTGGTGGCCATGACGGTGCAAGGTTTACGTTGGTGAACCCGTCCCAAACACCTGGAGACAACAACTGGGCCTTGCAGCTGTGGAGCGTTGATGCACAAGGCATGGAGTTTGCATTTCGGAGGTCAAGCCTGGTCCTTGTTCGGCCAGCAGGAGTCATCATGTGTGCAAATGGAACGTGAGAGGTGGAGAATTCGAGAGGCACCTTACACACCACCAAGATGATGTGTCTGGGTTCGAAGTGGATAACTCTCCAATTGTACGTCCAATGCAGTATGTGGCTTGTCGGCATCACTGTTGTGGCATCCGCTCTGTTGCCCAGAACCGCTGTCGCAGTCATACTTGCACTTGCACATCGCCCGGAATCGTCCAGGTTCGTGCAGACAAAGCTGCACGTTTGTTGGACAACGACTACGCAGTCGCCTTGGAGTTCAAGACGAGCCGTGATTGTGGTGGCGCCGACTGGGTTGGCAGTGGCATCTGGGGTGATACAGTCTGCTTGATGGAGGCGCACGTTTGCATCCGTGTCCTCGAAGAGCTTCCAAAGTAGTGCATGATACGCAGGTACACCTACCTCCAGGCCGTTGTCCACCGAACTGGGTGTGTACCTTAATTCGCTGCCATAGGGCAATCGGGACTGAACGGAAGTCGCTCAAGCCCAGGCATTCGATGCTCCAAGCACCGGTTTCCTGGAGCCGTTTCCTTAGCTCAACAGCGAACGCGACAACGCGGATTAGAATGCGAGCCCCAGCGTTGATGGAGGTGCATGGACGTTGGCCTCTTCCCCGAGCTGGTAGGCCGGGTGAACTTGGATGTGGAAGAGTGACGGGTTATCCATGGCTGCTTCTGCTCGGGTGCTGCATAAGACGCAAAGTGAATTCGGCTCGCACTCCAACGGGTTTGTTGAAGGTTTGTTGAGGGAGCACTCCAGCCAACCTAAAAAAACCCAAGCCGCAGTCGATAAGACAAGACAACAGAACGGGGGGGAGGGCGGGGGGTGGGGCGGGCGTAAAAGCTGGGTCTGGGCCTTGAAGCCACTTTGAAATGGTGGAAGAGACCCACATGAGCCTGCCGCCCCCGCCCCCATGCAGAAACCCGGTGCCTACCTGCTGGAGCTCAAGTGGCCTTGAGAAAGAACGAAACCGGCTGCTGGTTCGAGCTGCTTAGCTCTCATTTTTCGTGCTTCTGAAAACGCTTGTGAAGACAGCATCGAGCCGAGGTTCATCACCGGGATTCTGAGAGACACTTGGGATTATGCATTTGTGCTGTATGTCTCTTCTGCCCATCCGCTGCAGACATCGGCAACTTGCCTGCGAGATGTGTGGTCCTTCCGCAGCTCTGTGAGTTGTGGATTTGCCACTGCCGATGCTGCACGAGCACATTCAACGCAGGAGAACGAGTGGACCGTGCACTTCATCGAAAACGGTCTCCCGGCAGACGTAGCAAGATCTTTCGAAGGGCAGGCAGTGTCTTGCTGTCCAGCTCTTAAGACGGTGAAGACTTGTCTTTGCTGGGATGCGACTGACGTTTCGAACTGAGGACTTTCCATGATCAATGCAGAAAGTCTGCCGGCGTTCTCCCTTATCTCCACAACCAGCACAACCACCGGGCCCTTCCTTCGTGCTGCACTCTTTGGAATGATCGAGGACAGGTTGTTGCCTCCCGTCGTCTGCCTCAGCTTCGAAGTTCAAGACGAGATTCTCGAGCAGCCGACTTTACGCCTGTACATGCCAGAAGGCTTTCGAAGCATTGGTGGTTCCTGCGGGTATGCTGAAGCCAACACAACATTTTTTCCGGAATGCGGCGGCGAGATGCTCGTGCCAGCATCGGAGATCTCTTGCCAGGAAGGGTTCGACAAGCAGCAACTTCGATATTACTTGCACTTCGAGGCCTCAGGTGATGCGAACAGCTCTTCCGGCTTCGCTTTTCAATTCCAGGTGAAGGCCCCGCGGACGAACCCAGAACAGAACACGTGGAGCTTGACGCTGAGTACTCAGACCCACAAGGCCGCTTGGACAGGATCACGGCTCGTAAGGAGACAGACACGCCGAGGAAGACAAAGAGAGGACAGACAGACGTAGATTGTCAAGCCAGGATGGATTTGTAACGGGGGAAGACTGTTTGTGTCATGTTCACCCTTTACTGACAGGTACTTTCTTGTAAAGGTGCCATGTCCAAACATTCTTATCGAAAGTCCATGCCCTTGAGAGCGTACATTCGTTGTGCACTGTCATCGTACTCTTTATGGTTATGGCTTTTGCGCTCGTTTCTCACTCCCCAAAATCCGTCCAAAAAGGTTCTTTGACCATCCCCCATGCCAGGGAGAGAGAGAGAGAGAGAGAGAGAGAGAGGCTCAAGCCGCGAGTGGTTCAAGGGGAAGGTGGCCTCTCTGCCCCCTCTCTTCTTGTTCCTTTCTCCTCTCACTTCCTACCGTACCGGGCCACCTTCACTCTCAACCCGGGCGCTTGCACCTTCTCCGCGCCCTTCCTTTCTTTGCGATTGCTGAACGTTGAGGGAAGATCTTTGCCCGCCTCCTGCCCATCGCTCCTGTGGACGAGCTAGTTGTGCATCGTTCCCGGAGGGTGACCGCCGCTGTGCCGACCCTTAAGGACTTTGACTTCAACTTCGTCTTCGCAATCGGCGAGCCTACTCAGCTTCTACCTCAGCCTTTTCCTTCTCCGGAAGTGCTTTGCTGGGCGGGGGAGTACCTCGAGGTCGGGATCGTGATAGTGGCAGGAACACCAAGAAGGAGATCTTCAAACTACGCAGGGGACGACAGCCCTTGACGACGACGAATAAACAGTGACAAGCGACGCCGGGGAAACCCCGAAGCCTCCTGGAAACAGCTTTTGCCGCCGACCTCTGCAGCGGGGATGACTACACCAGGGGCC